TTAAATTTAAATTCCTTAGTATTAATTCTTTGCACTGAAAGCTGAGACATTTGTGAAGCTCATCTTTGTTTTCCTTCATGAATGAATTATGTCCTCCTCTGCCTTTTGTTCAATGTCTGAAAACAGTTATTTCATATATTTTATATAATTTTCTAGTTGTTTAAGGCAGAAGAGAAATCTCATCCCTGTTAGTCCATTTTTACTGGAAGTAGAAATTCTATTACATGTCTTTGAAATATTTTCATAAAAGATTATTAAAGGAAAAAAATTTCAATATCTTAATTATTTAGTTTCAGCTATCTGGGAAAATTAAATTATGGTGATCATATCCTTTATACATAATGTAAAGCTATAATAATATTCTTTTTATACCTATTATATGCTAGATATGCAAGAATTTTATTTCTATTAATTCAGTTAGTCTTTCCTCTAGCACTATAAAGTAGGTGCTATTATTATTACTATTCACAGATGGGACAACTGAGGCACAAATAGGTTAAACAGTTTTCCAAAATGTATATATCTAGTAAGTGAAAAACTGGATTTCAAAATCAGATATTCTCTATTCAGATGCTGCATTATTGACTGTTACACTATATAATACTTCCTCAAGAAAAGTGTTAAAGTATAATCTGTATGATGTTAACAGAAAGGTGAAAACTTGAGCTTATTGGATAGTTTCACCTCTCAAAATTTATTTCTTATTAACATGAAGTTGTAAAATGAGGTGACATTTTATTTTTTGAGGGTGTCTAACAAAATATTTGTATGCATGCATGCAGCTTCCCTAGACAAGAAATATAGGAAAGAACAAATCCTCTAAGTTTTCTTAATAGCATTGACATTTATTTTTTGGCCTACAATCAATTATCAATTGTATTAATAGAAAATGTGATTATTATTAGACGAAAGAAACTCATTTGCATGTTTTAGGCCCGTTTAATATGTTACAGGCTTTGACATGAAACTCTTAGCATATATTCTTGAAGTAATTTTATCATAATTTTCAACGTTATAGTCCTGCAAAGGTCATCATCAGTAGTTGAATATATTAGGTGTTCTAGATGAAGTTTTAATTTCAGCATATATGACTTATAATATGGTGATCCAAATGTCTTGATGAGTTAAAAATATTGCATTTACAAATACCATGAAACATCACCACAGGTATTAGAGAAGAATACAGACTCAGTAAGTTTCAAACTTTCTTTATTTTGATTTTTCAGATTGCATTCTCACAACACAATACAATCATGGATCTTGTGCAGTTTTTTGTCACCTTCTTCAGGTAATTTGCTTTTACTGAATTTGAATTTGTTAAACCTGTATTCTGATATATGTTCTGTCAATCCGTTAGGTAATTTATTAATTTTTTGACCTCAAAATATCATATAATGTGTCTTGAATAGTTTTATATGCTTAAATATATACCACAGAGCCGAGGAAACATATTTACAATATACTTTTGCAAGATTATTTTGCTGGTGTACTATTTAATAGCTAATGGATTCAGTGGAAAGAGGATGGTAACTTTGTCTTCCCCTGTCACATAAGTAATTAAAGCCTGCTTTAATTAATGAAATTAACAGTACCTTCACCATATTGATTAGGTGCATCTTTAGAATTATATCAATTTGATTATTTCTTAGGAAATTATCGTATGTTTTTAGCAATGTGCTAAAATCTGTAGGGGATAAGAAAAAGTATGTATTTTCTGTCCTCAAAGAGCTGATAATCTGGAAGTACTAAATATGACTTCAAATAAAGCATCATTCCCTAGGATATGGGTTATTTGAGATATTAGCAGTAGTTTCATAAAAAAGGTTCCATAATTAAACAACTGGGGAAAATGCTGTGTATACTAAAGTTAAACAGGGCTCTTTTGGTTTGTTTTTAACTGATATTACTTACAGTTTTTAATATGCTCATTTGCAATGTATTTTTCTAAAAGAGAGAATGCATTTCTCAAAATGTAAGAACTCTTTTCAGGGGACATCTATTTTCATTTCCATGGGGTGTAAATAAATGAAGACTGGGTTAGGAGAAGAAGCTGAGTTTCAATGATAGAATATCTGTATTATGGCATTTTAGATCATCTGGACTGGAAGAAATGTTATTTTTGTTAAGCTGATTAAGATGTGTACAGTTCATGCTGGTCCACTGGGTGCCTTTGTGCAAATTAGACAAATATGTCTACTCCTTTTGGCAAACCATAGTCTCCCATCAGGGCACATAACTTTACAAACAGTGCAGTATGAATTTTGACCTCCGCTTACCAAGTTGACTGGGCTGCTTTGTACAGTAAAGAACCTGTACAACTCAATCCTTGATGCAGGTGGTGAGACAGTCACTTTCCTAAACGCCAAAGTAACCGTTATTGGTTATGTTGTCCAGATACCCATACAGTACTTGAATTTCTAATGACTTCTCCACAGGGGTCAGCAAACATTTTCTGTAATGGGCCAGATAGTAAATATTTCAGGATTTGTGGGCTACAGGGTCTCTGTTCCTTCTACGCAGCTCTGCTGCTGCAGTGCTAAAGCAGCCACTGCCAATATTCAAACAAACGAGTGGCTGTGTTCCAATAAACCTTCATTGTGAAAACAGCTGGTGGGCTGAATTCTACCTGTGGACATAATTTGCCCAACCCCTGATCTAGCTTATGCCTCTGAATGCTTTTAGTGACAGGAAACGCACCATCCCCTGAGATAGCATTTTCTATCTTCAGATAACTAATTGTTCTGTATAATTGAGACGAAATCTGTCTCCTTGTAAATCTCTCTTCTAATTCGTCCATATGGGCCCATACAAAGCAAGTCTAATCTTTCATCTCCATTTATGGCCCTTCAGTTTTTTAAGCTCTTTTCTCAAAGTTATACATTCCCTGTTCATTTATTCACTTCTGTTGTCAAACCTTTGCCATGTTGGTCACTTTCCTCTGAAAACAATCATGTTTGTTTACGTCTGGTAAAAAGTTGTAATTTCCGGAATGTAAATGCTATAAACATCTTTATCACCAACATGTATGCAGTGTTATTCATACTTTAAATCTGGCCCTTAAAAAATGAAGTTTTAGCAAACATCTTAAATATATTTAATATTTTATGACTTTGTACTTCTGAATATTAATAGATTTTAAAGCTATTAATTAGTTTACAATATGTTTTTGGAAAGTATTAGAAGTTACAGTCAAGTGAGCATTATTTAATGCATCAAAATAAAATGTTTCTGATGCAGAATAGTGTGGGTGGAAATACACTGAAAAGTTCAGCTCTGTAAAAATTCACAAAGCTGAATATATATGTAAATTATTTAAATTTTTAGGGTTTTATTTGAAGCTTTTGAATTCATGTGCATACTTAAATTCAATAGTTCTTTTATTAAGTAAAAGAAGGCTAGTGTTAATATGTACCATGTCTTAGAGATGATCCTTTTTATTATGTTGTCATCATAACAAAGTGAAATAAAATATTCTAATCACTGTGTGAGATAAAATATATTTGATGGTTTTTTTGTCATTTAAATTTTTTTCAGTAGTGAAATATAAATTAGATAGTTTTAAAATTGTCTCATTGTTAAGAAAAAACATAGACAGAGTATTTTGAATTTCATTTTTCTTCAATAAGGCCACTGCTAAATTTTAAAAGAGATTTTTAAACAGGTCAGCATTTGTGGACATCCTTGAATCAGGCCATTATTACTGTATTGCTGTTTCTAACAGAGTTATTGAAGAAGCGGAGATAAGTGTAGCAGCTTTTCAGTTTAGGTACCATTCAATGGAGGCCAGTTCATGAACTGGCAGTTTTTTACCTCTATAATGGGCAAAGTTCTGGGAGTAATCAAAATTCGGCAAGTACTGGGGAGATAATTTTTAGATATAGCCTGGCTCTGATCTTAGCTTTCTGTGCTGTCTTAAGTAGGTCACCTAGCAACTCTAAATTTCAGTCATTTCCTACATAGATTTGAAGGATTTTATTGTTGTTGTTAGAGTCTGTGGTGTAATATAATAATTAGAAAACTGAAAGGAATTATTTAAAAAATAAGCACTTTTTTTTCTGGTGTGTAAAATGGAAAAGTAAGTCTGAGTGAATCTGAAAAGTCTGAATTACTTATTTTAATTGAAGTTAAGCCATCCTGGTAAGTTAAGTGGTGATATGGTAGGGACCACTACCCCTGCACCTTTTGGATTTTTAGAGGTGGTACTAATTTTCACTATCCCACTGGGATGACGTAATGTCTTTGACTTACCATCTTGACCAGCTAAAGGATAGTTTATGATAGATCTAGCCCTCCGGGACAGGGACATGATGTAGAGGTTACTCCAACTACCGTGCACATAAATTCTAATTATACACTCGAGAACTAGGGAAATTTTCACTGGGTGGATATGTATACATAGTTGGCCTGCTATGAGCCAGAATTTGTTACCTGGACCCTGAGAACACCTCAACTCTAATGAGTGGCCATGATGACATTTTAGTCCTTGGGTTGGCTGTGTCATCTCTAACCCTGAGTCTAATAGTAATCAAAATATCTACTTATTCCTTTGCATTGTGTATATACCCATGTATATACCTGTGTATATACCCAGATATACACAGGTCCCTTTGTATAGAGGTTGTACAAAGGTCCCTTTGGGGATCATTTTGTACACTTTTCAAGAGGTTTCAAGATGTCCTTTCTTTTATGGACCCAACCACCTGTTCCATCAATGGGTTCTGGATTTATTTTCTTTTAGGACAACCACCCTCAGACTTCTGTTCCTCCATTCTTACTTAAAGTAAAAATAATGTTAAATAGCTGTTGTTGGCTGCCCACCCATTCTGCCCGTCACGATACCCTGCATTATTAATCATACCCGCAGTTTTTTGTGGACCAACCCCCTTGGCTGCTCCTCCAGTCTTCTTGATCATTATGGTAAATATGGCCCTGGATTCTGTCAGTTCAGCACTGATACCTGGCCTCTTTTACTCTGAGTCCCCATCACTTAACAAACCTACCCCTGTAACTGCCTCTCCTGTTGTCGGCTCTGGTCTGCAAAAGAAAGCCATCGCTGAACTTCTTAAGAGAAACTGGTGACCCTCTCATCAGCTTCCTTATATCCTTGGTGAATATTGTGTCCCATGGAATGTAGTCTTCTAGTAGTTCTTCTGGCCTTACATAATACATCCATTCCAGCACATTCCCTTCTGTTGTCTTTTTTATTCCTTTGTCTTCCATCTGCTAGGGCAACTCAGGCATTTCCATTTCACTTTGCAGTGGTCATTGCTTTTTCTAGCTTGTGAGAGTCACTCCAGCAGCATTTGCCCCATGCCCTGGAGTCCTCAGTAGGGTATTACGTGTCTTGTGGTCCTGAAAATATGCAACAAAATTCATGAATTCTTGCTTATCCAGTCTTACCTCCCATCCCCCTTGATCCAATACTGCCAAAAATCCAATTCCCGTCATTCTCCCCTGGCTCCTGCCAGTACACACTAGCTAATCCTTGAGCTTTTTCAAGTATGTATTCTCTTCCCTCTCTTATCAGGCCAAATCCCCATCTTACCTCCTAATTACCCAGACCACAAGTCCTCAGAGAAGTAGACACCAAGATGGGATTAGACATGCAATAAATGTATTAGGGGATTATGCTGTCATTTAATTCTGGTATCACTTTGGCAACCAGGAAGGAGGTGGGAGCAGCTTTTAGGGGAGCATCTGTTATTCTGTTACTAGGGAAGGGAGCTGTAGACCCAACATCCTCAAAAGCGTCCATCTCCATATTTCAATCTAGATACTCCTATTCCATATTTCAAGGGCTCAGGTGTTCTCAACCATGGCCCCTGTCTTTGCATAGGAGAACTGCTTTGGCTGCGCATTCTATCATCTCTGGAGCTCTGCAGCTCTAGCAGTTAGATCATCAGCCTGCTGTTCATCCATATTGGCCCTTCCACTGTCACAGATAAGAGTCTCATTTAAAGCTATAAAAGAGACCCTCTAGCTCTTCTATTTAGCCAGTAATGTTGTTAATAACTTTCAGTTTCTCATTATCCCTCTCCAGGTACTAATACAACATAGCAGTAATCAGCCAACGCCACTCCTTTTTGAAGGTGTTTTCACCAGTCACCACTGGTGAAATCTTTAGCAATTCAAGCCTTCTTGCAGGGACTATCTGTACGCCACCTACTAACATGGATGCTGTCGTTTTAGCCTGCCACGTAGTGAGTGAGCCAGATCCAAATCCCCATTTTACCTCCTCATTACCCAGACCACAAGTCTTCAGAGAAGTAGACACCAAGATGGGATTAGACACGCAATAAATGTATTAGGAGAAACTTCCATGAGGGAAAGAGCAGGGGAGACGGTGAGAGATCTTTAGACTCCAGTGCTGATATGACCTTTGTGAAGTAGATCAGGAAGAAAGGGATGTTGAGTGAAAGAGTGTGAGATTGTGATGCAGTTCTGAGAAAGTGTGACAAGATCAATGGTGAATCGTCAAGCCAAATCACCCATCAAAGGAGTTCTGCATCTCCCAGGCTCAAGTTTGCCTTGTTATCACTGCCATGCTCAATCACTGACTGAGAAGCACTTATGGGAAGTGTGGCCTCAGTGTGAACACAGGGATGGATTTCAGAGTGCAGTAGCTGGGGCCATTGATTAAGTGTGCTCTTAGTAGTCAGAGATCAGAGAAGCACATTTTAATGATTGACACAATAGATTTGTCTGTTGCTTAAAGCTTTGGTAGAACTGATGTATAAAACCACATGAATTTGGAAAGGTTTTTAGATTTGTTATTGTATGGTTTGATTTTTTGTGGGTAGATTTTTCAATTTATGATTAAATTTCATTAATAATTTTGTCTTCTCAGGTTTTCTATTTGTCTTGACATAGTTGGCAATTTTCTTTAGGAAATTGCCCACTTTATCTTATTTTTAAAATTTGTTGGCATATATTTTCTAATATTAATATTTAAAAATTTTTCGTATGTTAGAGTTATGCCTCTCTTTTCATTGTGAATTTTGCATATTTTCCCATTTCATTTTTTTCTTGGTAAGCTATGCAAGAACTTTGATAGTGTTGGGAGTCCTTTCAAAAACCAGATTGTATGGCTTCTTCCCATTGTTTTCTAATTCATTATTTTCTGCTCTTAGTTCTTCTATTTTTTTTAGTTACATTATTAATTTTCCAACTTTTTGATTTTAGGTGAAATTAAGCTTATTAATTTCTAGTTGTATGGCTCTAATATATGCATTTAGGGCTACTTATTTTTTTGATATTCTACTTCAGCTGCATTCCATGGACTCTAATATGTAGTATTTTTGTTGCCTGCAGTTCAAAATATTTTCTAATCTCTTTTATGATTTCCATGTGAATTATTTAGAAGTGTATTTTTCAATTTACAAATGTGTGGAATTTTTTCAATGTGTCTTTTTTATTGATTTCTCTTCAGTCAATAAAAGATCATTGTGATACTTTGGCATTTGTTGAATTTTTTCCTGTTGTCAAATATATGATCAATATTGTAAATGTCCCACCTGTTTGATACGAATGGGTTTTCTCTGATCCTTGGATTCAAGATTTTATAGATACCCGTAAGATAAAACTTATTTTTTCTTATATGCTCCTTTTGAATTTTCGTGTTCCATCTACCTATTATTAACTGATCTTTATTAATGTGTCACTCTGTTATTTGCGCATTTGTCAACTTTACCTTAATTTTTTTCCTCTTTAGTATTATGTTTTTAGATAGAAACAAACAAGTTAGAATTATTTCTTTAATGAACTGTTGCTTCTTTTCCTTCAGCTTTTTTCACTGTGGTAAAATACCCATAGCATAAAATTTGCCATCCTAACCATTGTTAAGTGAACAGTTCAGTGGTATTAAGTACATTCATATTATTGTACAACCACCAGTATCCATTACTAGAACTCTTTTAATCTTCCCAAACTGAAACTCCATACTCATTAAACAATAACTCCCCATCTCTCTTCCCCCAGCCTCTGACAACCACCATTCTGTTTCCTGTCTTTATGATTTTTACTACTCTAAGTACCTCATATTAGTGGTATCATATAGTATTTGTCCTTTTCTGACTGACTTATTTCATTTAGCATGATGTTCTCAAGGTTCATCCATGTGGTAACATACGCAGAATTTCTTCCTTTTTAAGGCTGAAGAATATTCCATTGTGTGAATATACCACATTTTCTTTATCCATTCATCTGTTGATGGACATTTGAGATGCTTCTGTTTTTGGCTATCGTGAATAATGGTGCTATGAACATGAGTGTACAAATATGTATTCAAGACACTGCTTTCAGTTCTTTTGGGTATATACCCAGAAGTAGAATTGCTGGTGTCTGGCCACATGCCCAGCTTCATGAACAGTGGGGGATAGCTTGTGGAGAGACCACAGAAAACACCCAGAGGTGGTGTATGAGACATAAGGGTTTATTGGGTCTTTCTTATGGGGAATGTCCAGTGATGGCCAGCTGGATGGAGTTACTGCTACTGCGAGCAGAGAGGGGGTTGCTTATATAGGCAGGGGAACAAAGGCTACAGGCTTGCCAAGAGAGACTGTCCTTGCATGGCCAGCATTCTAAGTTTCAGTAGCTCATGTGGAAGGGCTCTGTGTTCCCTCAAGATGTGATGTTCTTTGAGAGAAACAGTTGCCCCAGACCAGATGGTTGGCATGCTGCCCAGAAGAGGGCAAGAAGGACACATGGTTGTTATAGGGCACTTAGGTTATTGCCAGACAATCGTGACCCTATAGCTGGGTCATATAGTAATTCCATTTTTAATTTTTTGAAGAACCTTCATACTGTTTCCATTGTGGCTGTACTATTTTACATTCTCACAGTGTATAAGGGTCTCAATTTTTTCGTATACTCACCAACACTTGTAATTTTCTGTCTTTTGATAGTAGCCATCCTAATTAGTGCAAGGTGATATCTCACTGTGGTTTTGATTGCATTTCCCTAATGATTAGTGATGTTGAGCACCTTCTCATTTGCTTATTTGCCATTCATATTTCTTCTTTGTAGAAATGGCTGTTCAAGTCCTTTCCTCATTTTCGAATTATATTGTTTGGTTTTTTTGTTGTTGAGTTGCAGGAGCTCTCTATATATTGTGGATATTAATTTATAATAATTAATCAGATATACCATTTTCAATTATTTTCTCCCACTCACTAGGTTGCTTTTCACTCTATTCATAAAGTGTCCTTTGATGAATACAAGTTTTTTATTTTCATGAAGTCCAATTTGTCTATTTTTTCTTTCATTGCCTGTACCTTTGGTGTCCTGTCAAAGAAATCATTGCCAAATCCAATGTCTTGAAGCTTTTGCCTTATATTTTCTTGTGAGAGTTTTATACTTTTAGCTCCTATGTTTAGGTTGTTGATCCATTTTGAGTTAATTTTTGTGTGTGGTATTAGGTAAGGGTTCAACTTCATTCTTTTGCATTTGGATATCCAGTTTTCCCAGCATCATTTGTTGAAAAGACTATCCTTTTCCCATTGAATGGGCTTGACATGCTTGTCAAAAATCATTTGATCCCAGGGGCTGGCCCCGTGGCCGAGTGGTTAAGTTCCCACGCTCCGCTGCAGGCGGCCCAGTGTTTCGTTAGTTCGGATCCTGGGCGCGGACATGGCACTGCTCATCAGACCACGCTGAGGCAGCGTCCCACATGCCACAGCTAGAAGAACCCACAACGAAGAATACACAACTATGTACCGGGGGGCTTTGGGGAGAAAAAGGAAAAAATAAAATCTTTAAAAAAAAAAAAAATCATTTGATCATATATCTGAAGGTTTATTTCTGGGCTTTTTATTCCGTTGGTCTGTATGTCTGTCTTTATGCCAGTACCACACTGTTTTGATTATCATAGCTTTGTAGTAAGATTTGAAATTAGGAAGTGTGAGTCCTCCAACTTTGTTCTTTTTCAAGAATTTTTGAGCTATTTGGAATCCCTTGAGGTTCCATATGAATTTTAGGATGAATTTTTCTATTTCTGAAAAAAAATCATTGGGATTTTTGATAGGGGTTGCAATGTATTTGTAGGTTGCTTTGGGTGGTATTGACAGCTCAATGGCCTCAAGTCTCCCAATCCATGAACATGGGATGTCTTTCCATTTATTTCTTTTCTTTAATTTCTTTCAGCAATGTTTTGTAGTTTATGTTGTACAAGTCTTTCACTTCCTTGGTTAAGTTAATTCCCAAGTATTTTATACTTTTTGATGCTATTGTAAATCAAATTGTTTACTTAATTCCTTTTCAGATTGTTTATTGTTAGTGCATAGAAATGCAACTGATTTTTCATGTGTGGGCTTTATATTCTGATACTTTGATGGGTTTGTTAGTTCTAACTTTTTTTGTGTGTGGAATTCTTAGGGTTTTCTACATGTAAGGTCATATCATCTGCAAACAATTATGATTTTACTTCTTCCTTTCCAATTTTGATGCCTTTTATTTCTTTTTCTTGCCTAATTACTCTCTCTAAGACTTCCACTACTAAGTAGTAGAAGTGGTGAAAGCAGGCGTCTTGCCTTGTTCCTGATTTTAGAGGAAAAGCTTTTAGTCTTTCACCATTGAGTGTGATGTTCACTCTGGGTTTTTCA